TACAAGACAGACAGCGCCGGGCGGGGACGGATTTTTCCAGGATTCAGATCAGAATGCGAGGGGAAAGAGCTCCTATGGGTATATGCTCTATATTGTGAGAAATCCCTTTTTAAAACTATGTAAACTCATTTGTAATGCAGTTGAATATATCCTAATAATCATTATTAAGTTGCTGATGGCTTGAACTGGGATCAAACAAGAGCAGCACCTATTGGATAGGCATTGTACAAACACTGAATCCTAAACTCTCCCCAAGAGCTTGTAATATAAATAGTCAAGACAGAGAAATATTAGAAAAAGGGATATACCATAGAAGCAGAGCCATCAATATGATGGCACAAACTTCATGTTAGCTCCACCATTTTTAAATTTTAGGTCGGGTTTGGCTAGGAGGGAATTAGCTAAATCGTTAGCAAAACTTGATACCACTTTTCTCTAAATTTCATAACTAGCATAGAAATGTCCAGCTTAGTAGCCTAGGGAAGGAATATCTTTCACATGTAGGTTAAAGATGGAATCTCAGTACTTTGCATCCAATGAATAGCTCATTAAATTAAAGCCTGTACCCTCACATCAATTTTTCCTTCTTGTAATCCGTACAAACAATAGATTTTCAGTGATGTGTTTCCAATACATACAGCCTGGAAGTGGTAATATAACGCTCAGTACTTGTGTTCACTTTTACAACAATCTTTTCACCTCATAGATGCTTTGAGTATTTAGAAGTATAGCGAACATACCATGCTCGTAACATGAATATATGAGGTAAACAACTGTGAAGTAAATATACATAGCTGGGTATTTTGCAAACATAAACATAAAATCAGATCACATAGAGATACATGAATTATATTTTATATATACATATATATTAGATTGTGTGTTCATGTGGCATATAAGGTCATCAAAATTACAACTTTTTCATAAAGTCTCAGATTAATGTTTGCATTGTTATAGGGCGCTATTAAATGCATGAATGCTTATCTTAGAACAGCGCCGAGCTTTAAACATAAGATCAAAGAGGCTTATTTAGTTAAGGACACCTTTGTTTGGACAACAGCTACAGGCAAATAACCTCACACTACGTGAATCCTCTCCTGAATTCATGAATGAACTCAGCCTCGCCTTTAATGAAATCCAGCGTTTTATTTCATGTTTCCTGTAAAATAAGAATCTATTCCTTTACAATTGAAATATCTAGTAGAGATTCAAGAAAGCAATACCTTGAGATGCACTACTGTGACCGAAGTAACTAACTGTTGTGATTGTCTTTTGGGCCCATTCTTGGTTTTGTGTCCCCTTTTCTAAAGCCATAGAAATGCTTAGATTTCTCATGTATCTGTTATAAATTATTGTGTTTAAATCCTAGTGTTAGGAGTCGGACGTTGTGTATTTCGTACAGAAAAAGGCATTTATCCCTGTCGCAAAGATTCCAACCCGTTACCAAAGGGCTAGAAAGAAAAAGCACATTTTGGGCTTTTCCCCATCTGAATTGTTTGTTCGAGAGAAAGTTTGGGAACGGAACAGACAAAACTGAGAAGTATCAAGGGCAAGAATTTAAATATATCTTTGTCTCTTTGGCTTGTGTGGCAGATGCTACAAAAATTATTACGAAAATAAGCTGCTTTCTATAAATAGCCGCAAACTGTCCCAGTACCAAAATAATCTTTCCACATTGTATATTTAAAATTAGCTTTAAAATAAATTCAGTAATCTAGATATTTTAATTTTGCCCGCAAAAATTCAATATTATAGTATAATTGATTACAACAATCAGAAACGCCTATTAGAATTATTTTTTCAAGGGTTCAAATACAAACTGTATTGCGCTAACTCCCGTACTCTCTCCTTAAGCCTTTCTCCCTTCGTGTCCTTTTTTTTTCTTTTTCTTTTTAAATATGGTCATCATCCATTTTTTAAAATATATTTATGGCTGCAGCTTTAATATTGTGCCCAGTCTGGATGTGCTGGTGACACTGGACCCCTCAGAGTCCTAGGCTAGGGGTTTAGTAGCTTCTCAGCAATGAGTCACATATTAGTGGATTACTGGGGGGGAAATGAGAGTAAAATACCTTTTATCTGGATTAAATTAACGCGACGGGAAAATGTACATCCCTTTTATTGCACATTGGTGCATATTCAAAGTAGGAGTGGAAAGCAAGATAACTTAAAATTAAAAGAGAAAGCCAACTATTAGCTCCCAACTGATCTGCTGCTGATTGTATTTCGAGGGCTGATTTAAAACCTATTGGCGTGAATAGACTTCCATTGCTTCGGATCAATCCCCCGCTGCATTGGGGCCCAGTCCTTATGATTTAGCTCAGACAAAATTCCTACCTTCTGCAGGATCTGACCCCTGGAAGAGAGTATATTCAAGCAATCCTTTTCAAATTCAAGGACAGCAAAAGTACTTTTGGGAACATTCAACTTCAAGAGGAAGAAATTCTGCGGAGCAAACATTTTAATAGCTCTGCAAATTTAGTGAATGACTATATATAAAGTTCACGCCAGCATTTCTGCAATTCCTATGCTGCAATTTCTAGCATCGGCAAAAACGTCTTTTCATATAATGAACATGAAGTCATGAAATAAGCAAACCGCCGCTGACTTTGCTTGGAAGACTTGTGCAAACAGTTTCTACAGCTCGTTGATCTGGGATCAAAGGGAATATAAAGTGTGTTTTGAATCCAAGCCGATAAAGTAAAAGCTTGCTGATTTGTATGGAAAATTTGGCAGTGTGTGACCCTTCCAGTGCGTTTGGTGTCATGGATAGATTATCCATCCCCACCCCCCGTTCTGTTTGACTGTGTGCATGGTTTATTACTGAATTCCCTATTTACACCAAACCATCCTGACTGCTGAGATTGAATTGAATTAGAAAGCATCAAGTTGTGCCCACTGCTAAACTTCGTTTTCCTTAGGAGTTACTAAAGCAGCCTCTACTTGTGACTATGTGTATCCAAAACCCTTCACCCTCACACGAACTGGGGGCGGGAGGGGGTGTCATTCGTTAACTTTCCCAACCTAACAATGCCACTGAGAGTTCAGCTTTCTGATTTATTGACCTTTTAAACTTGCGAATATAAAAGTGTGTGTGAGGTAACGAACCGGGGGGGGGGGGGATTCTTCAGCAAAGATGTGTTTCTATTTCAGTTCCATTACAAAATGTGGTGTTGGAAGTGGTGCTCCCAGCGTTATCAGAGTCGACCACAAATGCCACATGAAAAGCAGCAAACATCCGGAGGGTTTCCTGCAAATCGCGCTGTTTCTCAAGACAAGAACTTTGTGTGCGTGCGTGTGTGTGTGTGTGTGTGTTTAAAAGGAATAATCGTGCACCTCGGTACAGCAATTACAGTCGATGCTCACAGCAATCAAAGCAACACTGCCTGAAAATACTGCAACGTAGAGAAATGCCATTTTGGGGTTGTCAAGTTAGAAAAATAAGAGGGGAAGACTTAAGAATGTTAAAATCAAATCTACAACCATTTGTTCTTTGCTAAACAATGAATAAAGCGGAATGAATGATTAATTTTAAAATATATTCCCCAGCAGTTTTGTGTGTTTTACAGTTGGTTGGTGTGTATCAATTTAAACTACCAAAGGCGTAATCTCTCTCTCTCTCTCTCTCTCTCACACACACACACACACATACCAGGAGCTGTCTGTCCATCCGTATATAGCTTCCAGAAGGAACGCAAGAACGCAAGGCTTGGCCGTTTGTATGAATAGACAATAGCTCGGAGAACAAGCTAAAACAATAACGTCCTTGCACACATACAAGTTTGTTGGGTGTGGGTTTTTCCCCTTTTCTTTCTAAAAGAAAGAAACCGTCTCCCCCTCGGGTTAGGAAGGAAGGGCCTTTGCAGAGTGTAGCAGGGAGTTGCACAGGTCCGCGGAGGGACTTTCTACCCCCAAGGTAAGCGCACTTTCCCACCCCAGGAAGGACTGGGCTTGCCCCCAGGTACACTCATCAACGTGCCTTTTTACAATGCTGCACGGTCTGCCCAGTGCAAACTGCTCTCGGAAAGCGGCTCTGCTGGCACGCTGGGTCAGACAAGCCCCGAGCCTTGCTGATCGCGATTCGGGTGGGTTATATAACGCGTTCAGGCGCCCGGCCGAGCAGGTACATCAACACCCCCCAGCCGCCGCCGCCGCTGGAGATCACAGCGCTCCAGGAAGCCGCGGCTGGGAGGGCGACGTGCTCAGGCGAGGGGAGGCTGATGCTGTCTCGTCCCTCTGTGCCCCCCCCTCCCCCGGCGTCGCTGCCGCCCTGGCTCTCTGGTTCCGGGCAGGACTGGGCGCTGCAACCCGCTCCCGTTGGGCTGGGAAGGAGGAAATGCGTTGTTTGTTCCCGCTCCTCCGGCGGCTTGAAGTTCCTTGCCCGGCCCTCGCCGCGGGGCTGCAGGGTTCTTCCCAGCCGGCGCTGCGTGGCCCCCTTTCCCCGTGCGTTTCCCAGAGCAGCCGGGGGCTCAGCTCCGGCCCCCCCTCACTCTGGTGTCACCACTCCCTTGCCTTCCCTCAAGCTGCTCCCGACTGACCCCGGTGTAAGTCAGAATCGGGTTCCCCCAGGGCGAGGCACTGAGGAGTGGAGACCCACCCTAGCTGCAGCTCCGCCAGCCTCTAAACCAAGGCCGGAGCCAGCCCAGAGGAGAGCTGCGCCCTTCTGCCGCCCAAGCTGCGGCTCCCTGCCTGCCTGCCTGCCAGCGAGCCGCTCTCCTGCCTCCCAGCTTTAATATAAGCTACCCTTAGCCTGGCCAGTTCTCTGCAGTGGGGCTGCTGTTACCAATTGGCAAGTTGCAACCAAACACATTGGACCAGATTTCGATTGCAATTACTGCGGTGTAAATACAGAGAAATTCCACTGACTTCAGGTGGATTCCTCTGGATTTACACCAGCCTCTCCTTGCTGCAATCTCTGCCAAATCCAGTCACACATTAGCCAAGTGTATGTGTCCCATTGGATTTGGTGCTGCACCACAGAGATGAATATAATAACCTCCTTCCTCCTTTTGGTAGCATTACACTCCTTCTCTGGTAGAGGCAAGGAGCAGATTTTGGTGGGAAGTGATTTTCTGGAAACCTATTTTGATCAGTTGAAGTCAAATCTTGGGCATTTTGGAAGACTTCAGGTGCCAAAGAGCTTCTCCCTTTTCCTTCTTCTCTGGAGATTTGATAACTTTATAGTCAATCATTTTTTATTTTTAAAATGAGGGGCACCAGATACCCTTTGAAGAAGGAGGCTGATAGAAATGGCTAAGTCCAGGCATATTAAGCAATTCTAAAGCAGAGATAGGACAAAAGAGAGAATTTTTTTCCCTGAGATCTGAGGAAAGTTTTACCCCTGATCAAGTATATTTAAAGCCAAGGTATGTATTATATCTGGAACCAAGGTAGCTCTATGTAAGTCATTGTCAAAACTGTAATTCACTTAACTGTGGGCAGGATCAGGCCCAGAAATAGCAACTCCAAGTTGGTGACAGATACATCTAGTCCCAAGGCTCATCCTTCATTTTATTCGTAAATGTACCAGTTAGCTCATTCTTACTCAATCTGACTACATTTTGTAAACTTTCCTTTACCACTGTCACCCCACTGTTCTTCAATTTGGGAACTGGTCTTTGAAAGACTGAAAGGTAATGGAAGATTTGGGGCCCATGCTGAATGTTACCATCCATCAACTTATATATTTAAATGTATTTCTGCTTCTGAAAATTAGATTTCACACTCAAACACACACTAAAAATGGTTATCAAAATGGACGTATGTCTTAATTTATTAGCCAACCCCAGTTT